TTCACCCGCGGGCGAGTGCTATCACTGCACCACCCACCCAGGGCCTTCACCTTGCCGCCATTCTTTCTTACCTGGGTTTGATGCCAATAAGAGAGCTTGCCGATGGTTTGAATAAAAAAAGAGTGGTCGGAAAGCGGAATGATGTAGCGGTCACGCGTCCCAGAAATACGAAAGGCACGTTCAACTACGCAGAAAGTTTTACATATCACTTAAGATATTTATGAAAAATAATGCCTGGAACAGAGCTATAAAAATAACATACTCAGATATGCCCTCGCAGAAGGGTTGATAACTGTATCAACGTGTTTGATCAGTTGTAAACAGGAATTCTAGTACTGAAGTTGGGCCCAATGCCATGAAATGAAAGCGAGACCACATCGATGTTCGTCCATTGATTACCGTCGATGAAAATCCATAGCCAACACCTCCTTGATAAAAAAAATCAATACTCAAAAAGTCAGCATATCTATGAAATAGAGACTGAGACATAAATCTTCTATCATTAAGTCTGTTTCAATCGGAAACTAGATTGATTGAAATTATCAGTTTCTTGACGCTTAATTTTGCCTGGCCGCGTTATCGATCTACTCCTCACTTTCGTTCAAATGTCACAAGCATTGAACGCAAGGCGTATAGTCCGGGATGTTTGCTCAGTTGATATCGCATAGTGATTTCTGGTGATTTTCGGTCTATAAATCGAGTCCTTAATATATTTCCCTTGTCTCTTCAAGGTTCCGCATAAACGCTATGTTCCTCTTTCCATCCCCACATTCTTTTCACTCTTGTTTTACTGCCCTGTTGCCGCAAGAGACATCTCTAGTGACTAGCTTCAGTTTGCGCCTTTGATGACTTATGTTACCCAGTTTTCTTAGTAACGCAAGAGTCACATATGACTTACGCCGTAGCCAATGTGTCAGTGACGCCTGCCATCGCTTGGGAAGTCAATTCAAATTAGTTAAACAAGGTCGTTAACTGCCGCTGGTCTAAGAACACTGAATAAAGACCGATGATGAAACGCGCAAAACGAATTCATGCTTTCAAAGATTATTGAAAATTTCACACATCGCCAAATCACCAAGATACTGTAATTTTATAAGAGATAAAGCTCATGGTGCTGATGAGTCCCAACAAAGCGCCATATATTCAACTTCATCATGGATCGCTGAGGATGACTAAATGCATAATTGGCCAATACAATATTGGCGGTGGGCTGCCGACGTATCAAGAAAGCGCTGCCATTCTCCCAAACAAGTCGGGCACCATGACCTAGTTGGGAGAGATCGGAGGCTTGGTGAACCATGAAAGCAGGATTGAACCATCAATCACGTGTGTGCCGCATCGCAATTTTAACTATTGAGCTAGAAGCGTTCTCAAAGGTCTACATTCGGTGGTTTTTACCCAGTAATGGTGAGTGATATGCGACACTTTCGACGTCAGGCGTTAGTTGAACCCGCCTTTCGCTTACACCGTAGCACGCACTACCACTGCACCACCGAGGTCACCGCTTTGCTACCATTCCATAATTAGTTCCAACGCCGATATGTGCTTGGCAGACTAAATCCGTCGAACTTTGTTTGCCGACAACTCCAGTAGCTTATAGTTAAGCGAGAGATATCAAAGCGGTGGATTCGGTGGGATAGCGGTCAGCACTAGCTCCCAGAGATGGCGGAAAGTAGCTTCAACTCCCGAGTGGGGCCGCAAGTTTTGCATATTGCTTGTCATTACTATATATATAACTCGCTTGCACATCGTCCCTAAACTTGATCTTTTCCTGCAACAGATAGTAGAATGTATTCCGAGGCGGCATCGTTCCATGAATAAACGGCATGGTAGCTGAAAATAGAAGTACCATAGCACCACGATGACAGATCTCGACTTGAGAAAGGATGCAAAGCAAGAAAGCTTTGGTATAACATCGAATGGTGTCAGTTAATGGATCAAAAGAAGTCCAAAATGAAGAAGATAAAAAACAGCAGAGATTCTTTGTGGGCAGATGTAATACTGAAACGAGCTGTAGAACTCCAATTTCAAGCAAGATTTAGGGCAAAGAAAATTCAGCGAAAAAAGTACAAAAAATATGCGTTTTTCTATAAGAACTTCAAAAACATGACAAAAGGTGAAGAACGGGTTCAAAGCTATCAAACTCGTTTGGGAGTACCTTCGTCAAACACTCAGGACATTAACAGTGGAGTACCCCACGAGAACAGTAACATTGGAACAATGTAGTGTAAAAATTCTGTACTTATCCGTTATCTGCTCTCCTTTTCGACTCTTCATGAAAAGCTTATTTTGCGATTGTAAATAATGTTTAAGTGATTACCCGGTAGCTTAAATTAAAAAAATTTGAATGGTGTAATCCGTCTCAAAAAAGACCTTATTATTGCGCTGAAAGAGCGAAAATAAGAATTAGCTTCTCTTTCGAAGATCTATCGTTGATTAAAGGTTTTCCGTTAGAGTTTAAGGGATCAATAGACATATAGAATCTTGGAAATTCCAATGACCTACCTGGTTTTTGAAATGGATTTCACATTACACTGCAAGAGCTAAAACAAGAGTGGGTTTCGCAATTGGGTTACTTCAATTATCCGCTCCTCACTTCTATATCCCAGGAAAACGTATTTCATGGTCGTTTTCAGTGTCCAAATGGCTTTTCGATAGCTCAGATTAGAAGGATTTGCGTAAAGTATTTTATGTTCAAAAGGTCTTTTTAATTCGCTGGAAAAACAAAAATAAATCTTTGTCCCTCATTCCAAGATTTCTCGCTCGACAAAGCTTTCCCTTCGGAGTTCCAGCAACCAGTCGATAGATTAGTTCTCAAGAATTCCAAGAATTAAATTAGTTTTGGATATGGACCTTGTATTACGGTGGAACAGCAAAAAGAAGTTTGTGCTTCGCAAAATTACAAGAAAGCGTCAAGTGCGAACCCAATTTTCTTTTGGTTCTTACGAAGCATTAGAAATCCCGTTCAAAAAGCCAAAAACATTATTTGAATTCTTAAAATTTGATCTATCGTTTGGTGGTTAAAATTGTATGTGACTCGTCAGCGAGAAATCTTCGAATGAGAAACGAAATATTACTTTTGCTCTTACAGCGCAACAATAATGCCCTTTGGAGAGCTAGATACACCATTTAAATCCTTTTTTTAAGCTATCGATTGAATATTTGAACATTGAAACGATCGAAAAATACGTTTTCCCCAATGGAACGAAGTGAGAAGAGAATAGTAGAAAAGATTTATTGATGTTCGTTTTTATTTAACCGCTTATAGTGATGGTATGATGTTTCAAATATATACCCATTGATGTTAGAGCAATGTGCAAAACTATATGTTATATATAGTATATATTTGAAACATCATACCACCGCTATAAGCGGTTAAATAAACACCAACATCATTTGATCTTTAATACCCTATATCTGTGAGCGTGACTGCGTGTAATGTCGAGACCGACTACCCGGGCCAGGCCGTTGACGGCTGGCGGCTGGTAGATAGGTGCGCTGAAGTGCAGAAAGGTCGATGTGCAAAATGGGCGTCGGTAGCGTAACGGATAGAGCACGCATTCTCTGGAAGAGTGAGGTGCGGGTGCTAGTCCCGCCTGACGCGAAAGTTTTGCACATTGCTCTAACATCAATGGGTGTATATTAGAAAAGATTTAGCTTTGCAAAATCCAAAATACTTTTGGCTTTTACAGCGCAATGCAAACTTTACGTTGAAAACAAACATATTATTAGAATCCTTGAGATTTGATCTATCGACTGATCACTTTAATTCCAACGGAAAAGCTTTGGTCTGCGAGCAATCTCTCAGTGAGAAACAGAATTTTATTTTGCGCTTTTAGCGCAGTAGGAAGGCTTTTTTGAGGATAAAATGTACCATCAAATTCTTTTGATTTGTGCTATCGAACAGTTATTTGAACGCAGAAAAAGAGAAAGTACCAACAATCCTAGCAAACTTGCTAAATCTAAACATGAACCTGAAAGGTTCAAACATAAAGTCAAAAAGAACAGTTGCTGAAAAGTTTTAGAATCTCATTCTATTTGTTATAATTGTCATAATGATAGATTTAAAAATGTTTCAGAGAAGGCTTTAGTGAAATTGCACTTTACAACAAAACAATGGGGGTGAATATTCTGTCTTTATTGATGAGCTAGTACGAGGTTTTCATGGAATTTTATCATTACGCCTAACGAACAGATAGCGTGTGGTGTAGAGGTTAGAGATGCCCTGCGAAGCACAGGTGGTCGATAGCTCGGTCTTGCTCCTAAGGCTCACAAAGCCTTCTATCATTCCCTTCGGGGGTCAGCAATTGGTATCACACTTGTTTGAGGACATAGCAACACTGACTTGATACACGACTATCGCGATACTTGCAAGAACCATAAGTGCATTCAATCACCTGTAACGATGCCACGAATGGAGTCGAATGCAGTGCGCATTTCTCAGGATCATTGACCAACGCCAAAAGCTTTATCCTTATCAGCGATTCAGCGGTTTCGCTAACATCAAAGCCGCGATGGTACTTCTTGCCATGAGGTCTTCATAGCCGTCACATTAAAACGTCTGCAATACGGTAGATCATCGCACGAATAAAGTTTCCTCCTGACCGTCGCCTTTGCAATATATAACGCTAGCCACGCCTAAAAAACCTAACATTGTAGAGTGCTGTGCAAAAACGTTTGCGTCAGCCGGGATTCGAACCCAGATCTCACTCTTTCCGGGAGCGTATGCTAACCGTTGCACTACCGCCGCTCGCTTTGCACAACACTCTTATTTACGCTACAACGCGTACGCTACAGTACTCCACATATTGGGTATACTATAAGATCATATCACTGCAAGTGACAGTCAAAATAGAAAGAATTTAGACTGATTATCGATATCCAATGTCTGTCAACACAAGGGGGTTCAATGCCGATAGCGGCTGCCCCGCCAGACCGTCGACGGTTGGTTGTTGGCAGACAACGCGTTGTAGCGTAAATAAGAGTGCTGTGCAAAGCGAGCGTCGGTAGTGCAACGAATAGCATACGCTCCCGGAAAGAGTGAGATCTGGGTTCGAGTCCCAGCTGACGCAAACGTTTTTGCACAGCACTCCACGTATTGGGTATACTAATAACATCATACCACTGCAAGTGGCAGTTAAAATAGAAAGATTTTCGACTAATTAACCTAACATTATTCGGCAGTTCTCCAAGTACAACATACCTGAATTCGAGCCACAGATCCTGAAATTTTTCATGATCGTAGAAGCAGCGATTTCTCCAAAGGTCAACAGTCTCCAATCTCATTACTGATGTGAACTTGATATTCTGTATAAAAATTGTCTTGCTACAGATATCGTCTCGATGTAATTTGCCAGCGAATTTCAGATAGTTAAAAAAGGGTTTTAGACAAAGAGGGGTGCATGTGACTGAGATATGCAATCCTCGCCTTTGATGTTAGGGTAACTTATCATTTGAAGACCATAAGCACCGTCATGCTCGCCGTGCCACTCGAAATCTCACTCAAGTACTGCGACTGCGGCGACGTCCCTCCACGAATTTCTGCTGGCGCAGACCGTAGTGGAAATTAGCTCAATTATTACTTAAACTGAAGTTCTGAGGAACATTATCATCACGAAATGATGGAATATTATTGAAAAGGTTCCAACAAAGATAATTATGCTAAAAAGAATGCTTATATGCCAAAAATTAGTTATGTTTGAACGAGAAAACCACACCGCGGTGAAAGGAAACATATCTGCAGCTGATATACAACATCTGTTTCTTCTGTGTAATTGATGTTTTTGTAGTTACTTGTTAGCTTGAGAAATGCTGATTCTCATACTGGTTTTGTTCCTGCTTCGATCTCCACATTATGTTTCACTAATCACGAAAAAGTAAAGTTTTGCAACAGCAGCCTATTTTTCAACTTTACAGCTGAATTCCTGATATTATATAGCAAAATTTGAGTTAGATGAGGTTAGATTACTACAAGAGAAACACATAAAAACGTAATTTTAGTGAAAAAACAGCCCAGTTCTTCAAAAAAATCCACTATTCCTCATAAGTTGAAAGGAATGCAGTGCAATGGGTAGAATGTGCTCGTATTTCTTTGCCTTTTCCACTAAGCAAAGTTCTTTTCTAGATTAATGGTAATCATCCAGCTGTTCGAAAACTGGGCTTTGCAGTACTGAGCCTGTTTTATGAGGAGACTTTTACAGCATGTCTTGATAACAAAAAAAATGACATTTTTCTTGTTCAAGAAGGCATGTGGTGCAGTGGTCAGTGTTCTGGGTTGCACATAACGTGCGATCGTGCGCTCGTAGGGCATCACGTCTTCCATCCTTCCGAGGTTGGTAATTCAGTGGCAAATTTGTCTGAGAAGATAGTAGCACAGATCTGATAAATCGGTAGGCTACAGCGAGTATTAAAAGCCGAAACATGCATTCATTCAAATCAAAGTAAGCTAGAAATCGAAGACGAATGCATAGTGCACACCTCAAAAAATGAACAAGACGACAGCTTTGTTCTTAGTCAATAAAATAGAACAAAGTTTCTTAGACTTTCATGGAAGTCTCAATTTCTATGTATGCTAATAGTCAGAGAACTCTCGAGCGTAGTCAACGATTGGCACTACATTGCAATCTGAAATATCATTTTTGTCTAACAACCATTATTTTATAATTGCTTTGGCATGTTCCAACTGAAGTGACAAAAAAGAATGTATTTTAATGAAACTGCAACAGCGGGAAAATTACGTGCTGCGCTCGCAAGGTCGATCCCGCCGACTGCAGTGCGAGAAACGACGTGACACCGCCCGCTCATCAATGATGATCCCCAAAGGGCTGAATAACATTTTATTGAATGCAGTCAGTCGCAACTGCGTTTCAAACTGCTAAATTTCTTCTGAGATATGTGGTACAAGAAGCATTGTTAAAAAAGATAGCACACTTTGTGTCCGTAGGAGAACGTTTAGACGAAAAGTTTAGCATCCGGCAAAGTTCTCCTCTAGGCACAGATTGGCTTTATAAACTTTACTACTGTAATTCCAAAAAAAGAGTGTTTTTAGCCTAAACGAGGTTGGTACGCCAGGGCCATACACCGGTGTTTCGGAGGTTTTCGGTTTCCTCGTCAGTGACCCCCGCTCCACATTAAGCCCTGCATTGAAGCAAGGAGGGAGGCGTATATGGTGATGGCATAGTGTACAATGACACTGGTCCATCATCACTTTCAGTCGATGGATTTGGCTGGTAGACCAAAATTAATCCACGCGATCGACTGTTTTTGAATCCTCGAAGTGAACATTCAAAATAATTCCAAAAAAAAAGAATGTTTCAGCCTAAACGAGGTTGGTATATGTTCAGGAATGAACAGTCGATCACGTGGATTAATTTTGGTTTACCAGCCAAATCCATCTACTGAAAGTGGTGATGAACCAGTGTTGTTGTACACTATGCCATCACCATATACGCCTCCCTGCTTGCTACAATGCATGGCTTAATGTGGGGCGGGGGTCACTGACGAGGAGGCCGAAAACCTTCGAAACACCGGTGTATGGCACTGGCGTACCAACCTCGTTTAGACTAAAAACATTCTTTTTTTTGAAATTATTTTCAATGTTTATTACGAGGTTTTAAAAACAGTCGATCACGTGGTTTACTACTATAGTTTCGAAATTGAATTACTTGGTATTATAAAGTATTGCATAATTCTCAAAAAGTCAGAAATGGATTGAAATGACAAGCAGAGGAGTTTCGCTGTTACACGTTACTTGACCTGGACTTCATATCGGTTTCTTGGTCGTAATGCACTTCATTCATCATTCAGTGCGAACACCATACAGGTGATCTGACTGTTAAAACGAAAAAATTGTGTGTACGTTTTGCCAAGCTAGCGAAAGGTTCAAACAATATTGCTTTCTCAGCACCACAGGATTTTCATCAAAGTGTAATACGTCAAAATTACGAGTGGTAAATATAATAAAGACACTCCTTTGATATGTCTTCTTAGTGTTTTTTCAGTACTAATTAGATAGTGGGCTCATATAATAATGGGCTTGATCTCCAAAGAAGGCGAAGTTGCCCAGAACGTTAGTCATTGAAGAGCAAAGTGATTTAGACAACGATATGCATACTTATAAAGGAAAATCTGAGTAATTTTCTGCTAACGGCGATAAATAAATTTTCGACCCGTCTGCTGGACAAGAACTTTTCATAAAAGTGTGTTAGTCGTTCAAAAGCATAAAACACTGGTTAGCGCAGTACATGTGAAACTCGATCTGATTTCGAAGAGAACCTTTTAGGAAAAGGGTAACATTCGTATTTCACATACAAGTTTTACTCATCAAACAGAGTTCTTTCTTCAGACTATTGGCAATCATTCGGTAGTAACTCAATATTCTAACGCGGTGCCTAATTTATGGAAAGGCCCCTTCTCTGCAGTGCACAAAAAAAATGTGATCGAGTTTCACATGTTTGGTGTCCATGTTTATCGGTTAATCTGCGCTCGGAGGGTCTAATGACCGCAAATCAGAGATCGCATACGAAATATCAATCAGCGCAAAAGACGAACTTCTGACAGTACATGAGATACAGAAACCAGAAACAATATTGAAAAAACTCATAAGATACTACGTAGCTAGCTGATTATTTATGTTTCAAGAGTTGGCCACAATAGAAGGCTAGAAGACCACTTCAACACTTGGACTTCTACATAATGTAACTCTTATTCCTATAAGACGGAGTACGAAAAAGGGGAGTAGGTCCGCATGCGTTGGTTCCAATTCATAGCGTATAGGGTAAAGAATCAAACGCCTTCTAGATTATGGCAACCACATGAACTCAAGCACCAGAGTTTAAGTAATGAACATAGCGTCGTTCACGTTAAACAAATTATCATGCCGAGCTGTTCCACAATGATACAATTTGGGACCTGTAGCACTCATCGATAGAAACAATTTTGTGGAATAGTTCGCAACTTTGGAGAGTAACCTTACCCCTGCTGTTTAATCACGACTATTTGCTGGAGTGATATCGAGAACTATATGGTTTTCTGATAGTGGAATCCAGACAAGAGGTGGGAAGTGCATAGTGAGAATGAGAATCGCCTACGAGACGACGAGTCTGAATCGTATCAGATTTGCAAAAGTCTGTGATGAAAATGAAACTGTTATGTGTGACATTGCTCGAATATCGTCTCTCTAAACAAATGATAGCTTAGTTGATAAATTGTTTCTTTCAAACATTTAAGCATAGTCAAAATATTCTATAAGGTTGCAATCGTTTGCTTTCGATCCCTAATTAATTGGCATTCATCGAAATGCAAAGCACAAAACTTGAGGCAACTGAATATGTTAGCGATCCCAATTTAAGAATGATGTCGAGTGTAATCATGTTCTCTGGGACAAACACTAGTCGTAACAAAAAATTAAATCCATGGAATTTCAAGCGAGGAACTATGAGAACATCAGAAAGATGCTAATCTGGTAACAAATCGCGAGTAACGCATGTGGCGCATTAGTCACATGTGCTCCGAAATACATATGTGGTCGCTCAATCAATAGTCAACAGTTCGATCCCGCTCAGGGTTCACCAGATTTTCATCCCTCTGGGGTCGGTGAAATGGTTTCAGACATTTGTGGGAAAGGTAGTAACGGTGACATGATAGATGGGTAGGCCACCGCTAGAAATTGTGAAGGTCAAATAGGCATTGAATCCACCTCAAAAAGTTGTTAATGATTTTGAATGTATGGCGCATACCTCAGGGATTGGTGAACGCCGGATATCCGTTATTCTTTCATAACTAGCGACCGATTACTCAGAATATATTACAAATTGTCAATCTCAGCTTGTTCAATTCATTTACTCAGTTTTCGAATTCAATTTCAAATTCAATTCAATTTGCGAATTTTGTCTTAAAACTTTGCAGAAGTCTCTTCAGCGGTGCTCTATCTTATTGTGGAAATGAAAATTCGGTTCAAATTTAGCACGCAAATCTTAATTGAAAGGACATGAAGTTGTAACAGCACGCTAATCAGTCCAATGAAGAAAAGTGATCTTCTCTTTGTTGCAACAGTGCATTAAAAAGACCTTTC